GCAAATAGCAGCATTCAAACACCCACACACCAACTCCCCTCAGGTGCAAAACAACTCTCCAGAAAAAGGGACAAGAGAGAACTAGGAGGAGACCACGCAGCAGTATGACCACCAAGCAGCTGCAAGGGCACAGGACCCAAACAGCATCAAACCTGCAAAGAGCCACGGATTTCATTGCAAGGCTGTTCTGCAATTGTGGTCTAAATACATATACATGTTTTTTTAGACAGGTACGCCGGGAGGAAGGACAGTGGTGGGTGCAAAAACAATTCACAGTTGTACTACAATGAACTGTCCTGGCTCTCCCCAGGAAGCGTGTCGATCAAAAGAGTTAACCAGAGGAGCACTGCAGACAGCCCAGCTTCCTCTGCGGGGTGGGCAAGAGTGTGTCAGCGAGCTGGGAGAGCCCACAGCTGGGAGGTAAGGGATTTGCTGCTGAGCCCAAGCCAAATGCATGCACAGCGGGTATCAGCCAAGTTGAGTATATGACAGTATTTGTCACAGGCTGCAAAAGTGTCTTTTCATTAGCACACAGACGGCCTTTTTCATCTTCCCAAATTGAAACCGCACACAAACAAGGCTGCTAGAGGATGGCACCGTGTCAGAGCACAAATACTCCGCTCAGAGCAACTTCTCTCTGGCAAGAGGAATATTCAAGGTAGCATTTATGACCAAAGGCTGTCTCAGCTGAAAGGCAATTTGTCCTCTCTCTGTGAAGTTAAGTCCCCATCTCTTTGCTTTATCTGTAGCACAGAACATAAAACTCAAGCTCCCAGCCTAAAGCAAATCCAAAGCCTCCCCCCGCCCCCAACTGAGACATTTGTTACATAGATAATAGGTCTAGTATCCTAACCTAAGTCTCTCAAAATATCACCTACATCTTACTAGGCAAACAATCGCAAGGTTGGGCTTCTAAGAGTGTTGTGTGCATGATTCATTCCCACAAATGCTAACAAGGAGCTGAGAAGCAAGACCCTCACATACCTAAGATGCAGAGTTAGGTGCTTATCTTCAGGTCTAACAGATGGGCATTTTGGTTAGTCTCTAGAATTTATAATGAATAGGATGGAGATCTATGCTAAAAAAAAATCAATCACATTAAAGAAGGGACATTTTAGCAGAGCAGAAACACAGCTAGATACAATAGCCTGAAATAAAATATTCACAAGAAGTATTCAGTTAAATGAGGTAATTTTTCAAGAGTTTTTGGCATGAATGAGCCTAATACTTCCAAAGCAGATGCGGGGGACAGAAAATACAAAGTAACAAGAAGATGGCATTGGTCCTAGGGTGTCGCAGGTTTACAAAAGGGATTCTGCACAACTATTTGTCATTACTGTTTGCAAGATCTATGGTCAGAGCTAAACATACCCAAATGCACAATCAGAATAGAAATTACACTTTTAAGATGATTTTTGGCAGTTCAAATCAACTGAGGTTTTCCTCATCTGTCCACGAGGATGAGATGGAAGCATGGACAGAGAGAAAACTCATCAGCTTTCACATCAACTTTACCCAGTGTTCAGTGAGCAAATAACAATCTTGGATAGCAATCACTATTAGACTAAGATTATCAAAACCAGGAGCATAACATTAAGTCATTTCTTGCACACCCTTCTCCTCGTCCTTAACTCATGAGGTAATACGGCCACTACTGCCAAGTGCAATCAGTAAAACTATGAAAGATGGCTTGTCTAGAATGCAGTTCAAAAGCACTTAATAGCTGAATTCAGAGTTCACTCTAGGCAGTCTTGTTGACAGCACAAGCAGAATGAGCTGGCTACATCACCAGTTGAAAAAAAATAAATAAATAAAAGGTCATGGACCTTCACAGTCCCATAATGGATTTGAGGAAAGGGAAACCTCACAAGCTGTATATACATTTCACAGGACCTCAGTATGAGTCTGCAGGCCATCAGGATCTTCCTTCGGCTTTTGAAATACACATTGTAGTTTGCTTTCCCAGATTCAGAAAAAGGCATATAGTATATATATAGTAGAATACAGTTTCCTGTAAAGTGTAAGGTACTAAGCAAAAACACCGGTAGGAGAATGTGGAATTTACAGGTAAGTCATGAAACCAAAAAGGTATCCTTATACAAACATACAATACTTGCAACACGTTTCCTATCAGTTAAGATGCAGGTCTACTACATACATTTATCCTGAGCAAAGATCAGGCAAAGGAGCTATTGCTCTGTCTTTTGGCTACTGTGGCAAAATCACACGAGTCTTCCTGAGCATGACTGAACAATATCTGAGCTGCCTCTGCTAATCACTGGGAAGATGGTGCAGCAGCACAAACAACCAGAACTGGTCATAGTTTTGAAAGATGCAGGCCAGTCCACCGTTTTTGAACCACACACAGACTACAAACCATGGAAAAGCAGCTATGTCATGTTCCAGGAAACAGGACTGTGCTGGCACACTTATTCCAAAATCCCAGCTGGGGAAGGCAGTGAGCTAACCAATGCTGTTGAGGTTAACACCATTGGGTCACGTCATCTCTGAGCCTCATGCCCAGCCCAGCTAAATAAATATGTGGGGTACCAGGGGAGTACATGTCATCTCCTATTAGTGAGCTACACCCTCAACTCCGCTCCCATCAGCTCTCAGCTCTCTGATGAAGTGGTTTCTATCACATAATGGCACTGTACACAGCCCTTTGGGTTGGACATTTGGCCATTTTGGCTTAATAAGCACCAAAAAATGGACCTCTCCTCCCCACACACTTCCATCATTCAGGAGACCTAACACTGACTGAAAGGAGGTCAAAGAGCGATTTCGCTCTTGCTGGAAACATTGCTCACCACCTATTTCCTGACTGGTGGAGCCAGAACAGCTACCACAGAAATCAAAATAAAAGCTGTGACACACGGAGATAGCACTGAACCATTACAGCTAACCTGAGACAGCAGCTAAGACGTTGCCAGGCGTGGTCTTCAACGCTAAGTTTTATACCTGGCTGATGCAGTCTCTTACATTCTGTAAAGCAGGGGGGAAACTCGCAAAAGAATGGTGCTGGTCTTCACATCACTACATACTGGTCATGCTGACAAAGTTTATTATTTAACTTTGGGAAATTTATTTGGGAGTCCAAATTTGCATCCAGTTATCTATTTTTAGGCTCCCATTTTTGAAAACTTCAGCCCATTTCTAATAAGAAAGCAAATAGCCAGAATACACTGACCCAAACTGGAAATTTGACAAGCTTCTGCGGTTCCCATCTTATAAAAGAAAATACCACAGGTTCTAATAAACAACCATGATACTCCAAAACATTCTGCCTCCAAAATCCTTCAGCAGATACTTGTTCAGTCTTGACTCAAAGCTAAGAACACCTAGGAATTTAATCCAAATTATTAATTTCCTCAGCATCTTGTAATAAACTAAGCAGAATAAGCCTGTTCAGTACATAGCGAGAGATGACCTGCTGGCTCCAGGCAGCAAGGTGATTAGAGTTTACTTGGGGTCGTAATTTAATTTGTGCTTTATATGTAAGTTTTTCATCATTTAGTGCTCCTTCATAACTTTGTTTACAATAAATAGTACTTCCCGTTCAGCATTACTATTCAGAAAAAAAACTATTAATAACATCTTGTACTCAAGCCTAATTATTTGAAGAACTCCTACAGAGTGCAAGTTTCTGGTTGAAAGAGCAATACTGTAAACATTGTAATATGAATCGTTCTAAAACAAATACAACATTTAGAAACAAAGCTCTGTAAAATTAGAGGAGTTTAAAGTTGAAGATCCCCATACAAGAGTCCACAATTCAGTGGGAGACTCAGAAAAAGAAACTCTCAGCCTTGTTCAAACTACTTAAATGAACTCCATTAAATGTAAGCTCCTTAAAGACATGACAAGCATATTATCAAGAGAATTACATGAATACAAAGACAACCAGAACGTACTTCCTTTTTTTTTGAAAGGAAACATTAAGAGCTTTCTTATCCTTACTTGATCAACAGTGCTTGATTTGGCAACAATTCCAGATGAATTTTCCCTCCTTCCTGTGTTCTTAAATAAGCAAATTCCTCCAGCATATCAATATCTGAAGAAAACGTTAAAGGTTTCAATAGTGAAAAACTGATAAACTTTCCTCCTTAGCCTTCCTATCTGAAGCCACATGGCTGAAAGAACAGTCAAAGTTACAGCTACTGAAGCAGCTCATTCTTAAAGTGATAAAGATCACAGCATGTATTCCTAACTCTCCTCAATTTCAAGAGAAATGGCTTTTCAAGCTGTACAACAT